TGTTTATTAAATGAATCGGGTTTAATATCAAAATAAGTGTTCAAGATATATCGTTTTTTAATAGGTGTCATAATTATTTTTTGACTCATCCAGGTGTCTAACGTTACGAACGTTATCCATTTATGTGTACGAGTCGTAACGGCCGTTATAAAACCTCTTTAAATGACACATGTCACAATATTAAATTTTAAAATTTTTATTTTTTTTAAAAAAATATTATTAAAATTTTTAAAAACAAAAACAAAAAACCCTGCGTGCCCCATTTCCCCTCCCCTTCTCCCTCGTTCCATGACCAAAGGTCAAACGGCCGATTGAATTGCCAAATAGCCTGCTGTCATGGTCGGCGAAATGGTCGATTATCATAATCAAATTTGAAGGATTGAGTGTTTGAGATTTTAGAAATTAAAAATTTAAATTTAGGGATTTGAGAATTTTGGATTTTTAGATGATAGTGAGAGTTTGACCGGTCATTGAGTAGTCGACGACGTATGGGTGGCTGATCGCCGACGAATGGGTGGCAGGATATGACCGGCGGTTATAATAAATGAGACTAGAATAAAAAAAATTAAGAGCTTGCGGGTTTTTTGAGATTTTAGAAAAAATTGGGGATTTTTCAAAAATAAATTATTTTTAATTTGCATTTTTTATAAAAACAAATTTCTAAAATTACCAAATTATGACACGTGTCACTTTACAAGAAAATTAACGCTGTTGACGGTCCGAACACCTAAATAGGTAATGTTTTTAATGTTAGGCATCTGGATGAGTCAAAAAATATAGTTTAGACACCTATTTAGAAAATGTGGTATAGTTTAGACACTTATTTTAATATTGTATCTAAATATAATTAGAAAATACCGAAAGTTATTGTCATCAATGCACACATCTAATCATATTTCAAAACATTATAGTATTAACTTTTTGCAAGTATGTGTATTGGTGTGAATAGTCGTAAGATATTTTCTATTCATATCTAGATACAAAAATCGTAATACAATAAGAGTATTTATATATATATATATATCTAATATGTGTTATATAAGCATCTATATGATCAAGGATGGATGCACTGAGGTCCGTAAGAGAGTTAGTGGTGTGCATTGGTGTGCGACATTTATTCTAGACTCATGTTAGAAATTAGACCGATAAATTCTCAACTGACTCCTAAATTTACCCAAATAATTCATCATAAACTATTTAAACTTCGTCTCATCTCCTTCTTCACAGCCAAAGATTCTTTCAAAATACAAGATGGCAAGGATTACTTCGGTTGTATTTTCATTGGCCTTGGTCCTCTGCGTCCCACTCGGTCAGGACGCGGGACAAGCACACGCCAATGATCACGATAAGGAAATGTTCGTTTTCGGTCTCGAAGCCGTCCTCAACGGTCTCGCAGACGAGGGAGTAATTGAAAGAAGTAAAATCAACAAAGCGGATGTAGAAGAAGCCTATGAAATCGCTAAAGCTAAAGGAAAAGATAAATCGTTGGATTCTTCCATGGAGGAGGAAAAGGTCCTTCTCTACACGGGTCTCGGAGCCTACATCGAGAAATTGGGGAACGAAGGAAAAATCGACAAAGCCGCGGTGGAGAAGAAGGTTTTTCTTGTTCTTCCGGGCGGAGGGAAAACCATCTCGCCTGAGTTGGATTCGAAGGCCACTCAAGCTATTCTCAAGGCTTACATAGATGACAGCCACATTGAAATATAAAGGTAAAAGACATGAAAGCTATTCTCTTGTCGCATTGAGCGATGCGTACGCTATGTATCAAGAAATCTCAAGGCTATTGAATTTTATGAAAGCCAGAACAAAATGATTTTGTAATATGTAATTTCAGTAGGAAAATAAAAGCTAAGAGGCCTTATTTCGACATTGTCTTAAATAACATTTTCTTAAATAACTTTCTCAAGATACCGATTTTGATGTTTGTTACCCACCACCAATTTTCTTTTATCCTTGTTTCTTTTTTATTTTTTTAATAAAAATAATTATCTTTGTGACACGTTTATCTTTGTCTTTTTGGAACGTTTTTCGTTTTCTTTCTTGGTTGTTTGGCCGTTTCTTTTATTTTATGTTTTCTCGGAGTTAGATTTGACGACGCCACGACTGATTAAAATAACACTTTATTTGTAGTCTTCTTGTTCTTCCCTACTATAAATCATCAAATTGAATTTGGATACGCGATTTTACGTTCGTGGATAGTTTATCACGATGCTCAATTCTGATTTGCAATTCTTAGTGGTCTTTTAATCCATTTTGTGGTTCGGTTCATCGAGGATGTCTGGTTCGAGTTAGAGAACAATTTGTAGAACATTCATGATTACATGTACAGATCCAATTAGTAAAAACTCAGATTATCTTAGTAAAATCTTAATAAAAGCTAGAATGTTAAACGCCGCCAGTACTGTCACCCATTAAGATCAATTATCAAAGACATGTACCATGCTAATATAAAAAGGGGGTAATAAAACACTGGGAGTAGGTGGATGCTTGTTACATAGGATCAACTATCTTGGAGCCTTTGTATCAAAATAGAATTCAGAGATCACTGCTACTATAGTGTTAATATCTTGGAGCTGCAAATAAAATAAAAATCCCAAAATTATGTATATAACACGAGAAAATACTAATGACAACAGTATCATGTAGCCTACCTCCACCAATGGTTGCTTCGGGAAGTCGTTCTATTGAATACTTGTGCTGAGTTATATACATGATCGGCACACCAGGAACCTTACGAACCCTTCGCTTCAAGTCCCGATCACACGTAGCAACAATAAAGCATTTGTGCTGTTTCCAATGAAACATGAAAAAACCCTATGCTTAGCCAGACAAACTCCAGGAATACAACTATAAACAGTAAGTATGCAGAGCAGACTTGAAGTTATGCCGTAAACAAGACCGAATGAACAGATACCAGAGGTCCCTAGATGTTATGGAAAACCATCATTACTAATCAATCTTATCGCTAAAGTTATCTTGAAGTTGGACCATCGACTGCACAAGATACAAAGTACGGGTAGATACTTTGAAGACATCAGTGCAAGTGCACAAGTTTACATCCTAAAAAGTCCATAGCTACAAAGTAAGATAGCGATACTTCAGATCATTCTTTGTCTAAAATGGTTAACAGGAGTCACTCTTGATTTGTTCTAACTATCCATGATGCAAAACTGCAGTGCACACATTAATAGTGTGTTTATAGGGGGAAACATCAAGTATATATTTCATGGAAACATATCAAACGAATCTAATTATTTTTTTGGATAGCAAATCCCCAAGATGAGAATGGAATTATGCTAGCACATAATTGTACACAAGATATTAAGTCCTTGCCTGTGTAACTCTCTCAACAATACAGTCATCGGCATAAGTTCCTTTATGAATACACGGCAATCTTTCAAAGCGAGGATCCTTAGCAATCCTGAAAAAAAGAACATGTATTCAATAACACACAGAGAGTCATTGACATTATCTAAATATAATTAAACATTCAATAACAGAATCTTAGAAATAACTGTAAAAAAGTCGCATATTGCAGTAAAAAATAATGAATCAAGGATCCATATATTAGGGCCAAATTTAAGACTGTGTGTGTGTTAATATTTAGAAGCATTTAGTCAGGTAAACCTGCAAAGTGGAAAGGGATATTGCAGAATAAAGGGAAAGAGGCTTTACCTCAGAGCCACCCGGTATTTCGTGCCCAATTTTCAAGCTCAGCCATCACACAATCTGTGATGCAAGGAGTACCTTCATATTCAAAGAAAAGATGTTAAGAATTTACAATGACAACACAAAAGCAATCATAAGTAAAGGGCAGGCGGATTAAATAAACATTACAATTTCCTTTTTACTTTGCAAGAGGATTATAAACGTTACATAAAATACCTAAGTTCTCCATTATCATATCAAACTAAACAGTACAGTAAATTCAAGAGGACAACAACTAGAACACTTACTTTGTTCTGAATGGAGAAATTAATAAAGTTGGTGTCAACCAAAACGCGATAAGGAGGTCCCAATGAGGTATTGTGTGTGAAGAAAAGGGCAGAAGAAACATTCGGCCTGATTCAAATATCAATATACAAAATTGGGAAGGAATCAATAAAATATTAAATTTTTAAAACAAAATCATAACAAAAAAGAGTAGAGGAGAATTAGAAACAGCATAAAACAGTATAAGTAAAGCTTACACGTTTCTAGGGAGCTTTTCCTTGGTCAGGTCTTTCTTGTTAGGGTTCAAAACTTGCTCCTTGTAGCTGGAATTTAACGTAAGCAAGAGTTGATCCTCATGATTTATAACATTTATTAAAGCAAAATATTGGGTAAAGAAAACAAAAGATTAAAAAACTTACTTTTTGATAGCTTTTTGAGTGACCATCTTCTTCATGCGAGCAACTTTAGGGCCCTTTTTTGCTCTTCCCATTGCTGCTAATCAAGGCTTGTAAAAACAAAAGGCGCCAAAAACCTCGAAGCAAAACGGCAACCCTTCGGTACAGTTCAGAGAATTCCAACTGATAAAGAAGAAGGAGGAGGCGGCAAGGGCTCGGTGCTGGTTTTGGGTAATAAGAATAAATCACGTTTGAGCTACGCCGACACTTCTTCCTCTTCTGAGTTCAACTATAGTTGGGTTTGACGGTTCGGGCTTTGAGGTAATGGGTAATGGTTTTTTGACCTAATACGCCAAAACCGGAAGAAAAAAAAAATAGCCCTGTGCCGTTCGGATCCTTGAAAACAAACAATGAATTAATCAAACACAATTATTTTATTAAAATTATAGAAATTATACATCAAACACAAACCTTAAACAAGGGAACTGAAATTTTGCAAGAAAAATTTTAGATTTTGAGTCCCATAGGAACATCATTTATTTAGCAATAGTATATGTCTTCAAAATACATCTGATCTCATCGCCTCAAAACAATGAGCCTGGAATGCCTTGATCGTCATGGCAGCAAACGAAAGATGTAGTCTCCTCAAACACAAACCTTAAACAAGGGAACTGAAATTTTGCAAGAAAAATTTTAGATTTTGAGTCCCATAGGAACATCATTTATTTAGCAGCAATAGTAGTATATGTCTTCAAAATACATCTGATCTCATCGCCTCAAAACAATGAGCCTGGAATGCCTTGATCGTCATGGCAGCAAACGAAAGATGTGTATGTCTCCATGGTTCGGAGGCACTCCGGGCACCTCATGCTCTCCGGGACCCTCGTGGTAGTCGGGAACTCGAAACGGCAACACGGGTGAGCGACATCATGGAGCCGATCATGGTACTCCTTGAATGCCAACTTAAAGCCTTTATCTGCAACATTTACTTTCCATTCATCATAGCCACCTAAAGCAGGCAAAATAGTTGTGGAGTGGGCATTGACAACAATATCAGACCCTTGGCTAAGCACCGCCCATCCCCCTTCTCTTCCGTAGCTAAGCAGCTTCTTTATCTGCAGCAGCATCGGGTCTTGGTCATCGACTCGGCCTAATTGAATCTTCGAAAACAGCATGCTTTCCAGCCTGGCCCAGAAGAACCAAACCATGGCTTGGTCTTGCCAAGCATGGCTAAGATTATCCACGTTGATAATGGTAGTCACTTTCTTCACTTGCTCTCTTTTATTGCTTTTCCCTACATAGACCATCTCTAGAGGAATGCCGGATGCGGACGCAACACTGCGTGCCGAGGTTGCAAATTTCCTAACCCACTCGATATCGTCTCCGCCGTACAAGAAAATGTATTTCTCCTCTTTAATCTGACAAAATTAAGTCCAAAATCTCGTATTAGATGCATGTAGTATGTGTGTACATACGGGTGCATGTATGTAAATATATGTATATATGTATTTACCCAATTGAGGATCATCGGGTCGATGCCGTCGATGAGGAGCTCGAGCCGCCATGTTTCTTCCCTCCAGAGAGCTTCTTCTCTCAAACTAGTGAAAGGGAATGCAGTGCTTCCCCAAATCCACATCATGTGGATTGCATTAGGGGAGAGCACTTTGCCTTGAGGGTCAAGGACCACAAGGATTGGCTTGGTCCTGAAGTGCCAAACCTCCTTAATGAACCTAATGACCGGCTTCTCTATGAGCAACGGGTCCTCCACCGAGTACCACGGCATGGTGCTTCTCAGGGTCTCGAATTTGGTTCGTGTTTCGTCACTCAACGGGACAACAGAGCGGTCCACAACTGGGATCCAAACCACCTCATATTGGCTCTCTAGCCTTGTTTCATGGATCCTGGAGTCATTGTATATCTGCTCAAGAATCGCGAGCTCGTCGCTTGAGAATTCGAGGCTTGAAATTAGCAAGAGCACATTCTTCCTTCTGAGCACTTCCAGGCCAACCTATGCAACATGGCACAACAAGGTTACGAAACATATCCGACATTAAGTACCGTTAATGAAGATCGAGGCCAAAACTGTTATAATTCTGTAACAGATTGCTGCTACCTTTCGCCTTGTAGTACCGTCGATAAGGGGCAGTTTATCGTCCCTGGCATAAATCAAGGCCTTTAGAATCTTCATGTTGTCGATGTGCATCACGTTCGGAGCAAAGAGATTCAGAAGCAACCGGTAAGTTTCAACTTCTTTCTTTTCCTCTGCAATTAAACAATGATCAAATTAATGTCCATTAGTACTTATTTTCATAAAATTTTCAAGTTTTGAAATTGTCTAATTGCTAACCGATATATTGGTGACAAAAATTCAGCTGCTGCCTCAGATGTTCATGTATGTTTCGGAGCTTGTGAGCCAACGCCGACAACTCCCACGACTCTGATATTCCGTACCTAAAATAGAAGCAAACCTTGTTAATCTAACTATTTAATTAAGCATTCCATATCAGATGAACCAGCAAAACGTACTCATGACCCATGGTAGCGAGGCTAGAAATTTGAGCTGCACAAGCTACCATGCTTCGGATGGTCCAATAGACAGCGGTCGGAATAAGGTTCAAGGCAGTGGCCAGTGCCGGTGCGTCTTGTGAAATGTACATCGATGGGAGCTCCTTAAACTCGACAACACATCTAGTGACATCCATCATTGTCCGAATCAAAATGTTGAGTGCTTCAAACCTGGGTTTCAAAGGAGCCGTGTGCTCCAACAATGATGGCAGTTGCTTCAGGATCGCCATAGACTTGGCAAGCTGGTTCGTAGAGTAAATCTGAGCAAGAAGCCAGAATTCTCCATAGTTCAAGGCAAAGGCTGATAGAGATAGCACCAGCTTAGCATCCCACGTATAGCTCGATAAAAGATTGAATATCGCAGTCGTCGTTGCATGCGCATCGGAACCTCTATAAGCCTTGTAGGACAGCTGGTAGTTAAAAATGTTCATAAGATGAAAATGTTAGGCTTAGCACTTAGCAGTTAGCACACCATGAATAACAAATATAGCATAATTTTTCTACATAAATTCGAAAACCTCGCATGCAATTCGATCGATTGTAAAAGTAAGAGCTTCAAGCATAGCAATATAATTTGCTTGCTGAGCTTTTTCTTCCATTTCGACTCGAGCCTGGGTACCCTGCAGTTGAACAGAAAGCAATGTGAGCATATTTCAATCATATGTTGAACAAAACAAATGCAGCATAGGTTATACCTTGACTATGACATCGACATGCTCGGTCGCGCGATTAAGGATGTCCTCAACCAGATAGAGAAGAGGCCTAACATCGATTTCTCGACCATCGGGTGCATGAGTGGCCAAAATTTGATTCATCATCACATTGTCTTCGGACATGCCTAACATGCCAGCGGTTCGGTCGGCCCGGATGAGTGCGTGACTTGCACTAGGATTCTTCATATGTGCCTGCTTAGCACCAGGAGTGGCAACATGTAGCTGCTGGCTGGCGGAAACAGAGCTGTCAGGTATTGATTGAGCCGTGCCATGGTTATGGTCCGGCAGCGGCTTAGCAGAAGCTCCACCGGGCTTGTTGACAGGTCCTTTCACGAGTGGATGAAGTGGACCGGTGTTTGTCGTCTGAGCCATCGGAAAAATATAGCAAAAAAGAAGGGCTTTCAGTTGGCAGAAGAGAGGATGGAAGGGGCTGTTTCGTACCAAGAGCATATATATATATATACACACACATATATAGCCATTGAAAAAGGAATAAAGCTACTATGAATCTACTTCCTTGCTTCGTACACAATTAAAATATAAGTGTGGTTCAAGACTCGCTGTCGGGGACACAGCAGGCTTCGGTCATTTGAGTTCCAAGTAGGGATTTAAGTTATAGTTGCAGTCGTGATTTCAGTTATGTTGAGTTTATCGCGATTACGAATGTAAGTGCTACTGGGGTCATCGTGAATATCGTAATCATGTAATAACGATTTTAGATGGCCCCATAATCGCTATATAACAACCACTATTTCGATAACAGACCGTTATTTAAATTTATGATTCCAAAGTTGTTGCGTAGGATTGAAAGTGAGACATGGCCCGAGGTAAAGAATATGCAGTATTAAAAAAAAAACCCTTCGGTGGCAGCAGACAAAATAAAAGTGAAACAAGAGATGGCATACCACTCTTGTGCTTTACTTCTTTGCCAATGGCTTCAGATTTTCCATTTGTTTGCTTTATTTCTTTTAAATGCGTCAAAAATGGCGACGCTAAGACAAGTGTTAAGATATTTGATTCTTTGCTCTTTAGGAAATCAAAACGAAATCATGAGTTTAACCAAATCTGACATCCTTGCTAATATTTGATTTTGCTTTTATTCTTTGTCGGGAAAGATGAATTATTGTTCTGTTTTATTCTTTGATTTTTTGCTAATAATATGTACAATTAGTTCACCATACCAACCTCATGCTGTACAAAGAATATTATTTACTTGTGCCTATCAATCAAAAAATTAACATTTTATAAATTCACCAATTAATATAAAATCTTATGTTCGTCTTCACTGATTTTAATGAATAATATAAAATTTATCATTTCTCACGTTGTTCTTTGTCATTTTAAAGAATAATAGATTGTTTATAACACAAAATCTTGTGTTCGTCTTTGTTAGTTTTGATAAGCAACATAAAATCTATCATCATCGCATTCCTTTCATAACCAGTCAATGAATGCACCTAGGTGAAGAATTATAAGACCGTCAGGAGTTAGGATTAATTTGTAAAGCTAAAATTGTCGGAATTGATAAATTTTATGCAAGTAGTAAGCAACTGAATATTGCTTAAATAAGATTTTGAGTTCGAGTACTTTTATATGTAGAAAATCTATGCTGAAAGATTCATCCACCAAAACAGGTGTGTAATGTCGACTCAAATTAATCAAGACGAAAAATTCGAACCGAAAGAGAAAAAAAATTGTGCAATTCTAGAGACATATATGATACAGTGTGTAACATAATACTCTTATTTTTTTTAAGAGATTTTCAAGAAAAAAAAGTATTAAAACTTCTATGATAATACAAATTATTAAAACTTGATTAATAAACTAAAAGAGTTGTTCTTTTAGTAGGATATGAAGAAACTTCTATTCCAAACAAATCCAAAACAATTATCCGGATGGGATCGAATCCAGCTGCCGTAATCAATTTCCTTATCCATGTAAAAATTTTAAAAAAAATATTAATAATAAATAAATAAAAGCGTCTGAATATGATCCAAAGCACACACAAACAAAAGCAACGACAGAGAAAACTGTTTCCCTGTACACTACTACTCCTAGCCCTTTCTTTTCTTCTCAAAAGAACTATGTCTTACGACTATCTTTTCAAGACATCATCATCGGTGACACCGGTTGGTACCTTAATTCTCTGTTTCAAAGTTATCATTTTTTTATAAAAAAAAATGGGATTTGATTTGTTGTGTTGCAGGTGTAGGAAAATCGTGTTTGCTTTTGCAGTTTACGGACAAGAGATTCCAACCGGTTCATGATCTAACCATCGGTGTTGAATTCGGTGCTCGGATGGTCACCGTTGATGGAACACCCGTCAAGCTTCAGATTTGGGATACTGTAAAAACTCTAACTTTTTACTTCCTTTCCCCTTTATTTTTTATACTTTGTTGGGTTGTTTGGTGAAAAGGGTATTGGAATTTGAAGTTTTTTTTAGCTGTTCCATGCGAGTAATTTAGGTTTATGAGCCAAAATGGTGTTACTGAAGATTTTAGATTCTGTAAAAAAAATCTTGATTTTGATGTCTTCTTTTGGGTATTGAGTAATGAATTTTGGTGGTTGGGTGTAGGAGAATTCAGCCTTAGGGGGACCAAGCAAGACAATTTTGGTGTAGATTTTTGTTGGTGTTAAATGAAAAGAGGAGAAGGGAAAGTGTTTTATGACTTCTTATATTAAATTATATTTTCAGCCATATATTAGGTATTTGTTTAGCTGTTTTGTCGGAGCTCTACCTTTTTCATGCGAAGGGACCTTATATATGAGTTAATTATTCCTCTGTCACGTACTTCCTACTCGAGGAATGCGGAGCTTAGCTTATTTATGCATTTAATGGCTTATGTTTTCTCTAGGCTTACAAGTAAACGAAGTCGTCGAAAAATAGCCAATGAATGAGTTTGGCTTAGGCTTGTTTCATTGAGTTGAATGAATGAATTTAAACAAGATTTTCGAAGCTTGTTTTAGAAGAGAATGAGTTTGAATATCAATAAACTTGTTTTGTATCTTCATGAGCATATTCAATAAGTTGTTTGTAAACAAGCTCAATAAATGATAGATTAAAGTTCGATTAAAGTCGGAGGACAATTTCCTTGATTTTTTTAGAGCATTCTAATTTAAAAGAATTTTTTTACCTATCTTATTACCATCTAAACACGCTGAACCCAAGCAGTGTAATAATTCACCTGCCCCGGTTTAGTTATCTCAATTAGAGGTGTTTTGTTGGTTGTGTGATCTTTTCTTATATCATTACTCATTGAATTGATGGATTTGAGTCCCCTTTTATGTGTGGTTATATTTCAGGCCGGGCAGGAATCCTTCAGGTCCATCACCCGATCTTACTATAGAGGAGCAGCAGGAGCTCTTCTGGTATATGATATAACCAGGTAAGAGCCTATTTTTTTTCTGTGCAAAATTACTTGCTGTTATTTGCGAGCTATTGGAGATTAGTGAAACCGTTAAAACAAGGTTGTGACGTGTGAGCATGCTTAAAAATTGGGTGTGGATGAGGTGAAGGTTGTTGCTTGTGCCTGTATCTTCCGTTCTAAGATCTTTTCTTACCCCTTGATTTTAGCAAATTGTTTCTCCCCTCGGTTAAATTGCTTCAAAGCTTACAAAACCTAGTTCCGGAACATTTGGATTTTCTGGTGAACTGCAAGTTTTATTCTTGAGCAGGAGAGAAACATTTAATCATCTTGCGAGTTGGTTGGAGGATGCACGGCAGCATGCAAATCCAAACATGACAATCATGCTTGTCGGGAACAAAAGTGATCTTTCTCACCGGAGGGCTGTGAGCAAAGAAGAGGGCGAACAGTTTGCAAAGGATAATGGGCTTTTGTTCTTGGAAGCATCTGCTAGAACAGCTCAAAATGTTGAGGAGGTCAGTATTTACCCCCCACTTATATCTAGCGCTATCATTTTAGTCGGAATTTATAGTTTTTCTTTGTTCCTTTAATCTTTTTTACTCGGGATTAAGAATGAATGACATATATGGGTGTGTCCCGCACAGATATGTTATATTTCTTTCGAAATGCTTCCATATATTTCGAGAATCATACCCCTATACAATGTTTGAATATATGTTGGATACGAGAGTTTTGATTCGAGTACTTTAAGGGAAATGAATAATCAGAATGACATAGCTTTCCGAATGGTTTTAACTAAAACCCTGAATCATCTTGTAGGCCTTCATAAAGACTGCTGCAAAGATCCTTCAGAACATTCGGGATGGAGTCTTTGAAGCATCCAATGAGGTAATAATCAAGCCACTTTGTTTTAGTGTGATACATTCTCTTGAATGTCAAGAACCAAAGGTACACACACCCTCCCATGGCTTCATCCGAGGGGTGTCTAGAACCGAAGATACATTCTCTCTAATCTCGATGTTTCTTTCTCTATTCGGCATGCTAAAGCTAGACTAATACCGACTATAAAACTTCATAGTCTTAGACATGATTTAGCTTTCGAGTTTTACCGAAATGTTTTCTTTGAAATTACTGCAGTCATCTGGTATCAAGATCGGCTATGGCCGTGCCCAAGGTCCATCCGGTGCAAGAGACGGAGCGGTTGCACAGCCTGGTGGCTGTTGTGGTTGACATAAATGGAAACATTGTTGTAAAACTATGTTGTTGTATTTGATCTTTGTGTACTTCTTTCATCACAATCTCATTGCTTGAAATATATATCCTTGAAAAGTTGAATTTAGCAAGGAAACTGAATGTATAGAATTAGTCTTTTTTTTCATATCATTTAAATTTTAAATCTAGTAGTGTCATTTGTACTGTAACATATATGTTGATGTTTCCCAAGAATGTTAATGGCTATGAAGAAAATTTAGGGACTGGGCAAAAAACCAGAGTATTCGACATAATATTCGAAATTATCATTACAATACCTGGTTCGTTTTCATCATCACCTTGGTCCGACTCTGAACCAGAACCCCATCGGTCCCCTCCGTCATCAAAGTTCCAACGGTCGCCTGCAGGGGGAATCAAGAACTGAGAATCACTTTCATTTTCAGCTGAATCCCTAACTTCGGAGATAATTTCTTCAACTGCCTTTTCCTTATTTTGTTTCTTCGACTTCTTCTTGCCTTCCCCGGCCATGGTTTCACCCATTAACTCCTCCGTTTCCTTTTGCTCTGTTGACAATAATTTACCAAGAATTAACACAATAAGCCACTTAATCTAATAAATCTGAGTAAGATTTGAACCTAATTTATTGAGAAATCGTTTCCCATTGATATGCTTCCAAATATGCTCCTCGGACTTATTAACAGTATCACCGGTTAGTTTACAAATCAACTTCGAGCTGATAAACAACCAAATAGAAACTCATAATCAATCGTATTGGCAGAAAACACATGAATGATGAAACAAACAAAAGATAAACGATTCACCTAGAGGTATAAATGAAACACATCTCCTCACAA